AATTATATATATTTTTATTTTATTATTAACCATAATTAAATTTATAAATTTTAAATATATTATTTTAACTCTTAAAAATATTGATAAAGATGTGCTACTTAGACATATATTTTTTTTAAAGTGAACCATTCCTAATTAAGCATTATAGTATGACTTTTCAGAAACATCAATAAAATTGCAATAAAAAAAACCTAATTAGTTCACTGGTTATGTTATTAAAATTCTTTTTCTTAACTGCCCCTGTCCTTAAATGGGAGAGAAAAAGAAGTAAGAATACTTTATAGGGATATCATTTATTATTAAAGTGTGATACGTAAAAAATATATTTAAGATCAGAAAATTTTTTAAATAATTTTTTAAACGAGTAATGATAAAAATGTTTATAATCTAATTTTTTTAATATCATTTCCCTTAAACTCATATCATTTAAACTCTCAAAGTTTTGAGAAGATTTTAACTATTATGTTGTTAAGAGATTATATCTCCAAGGTAGTAGGATAAATAATTTGAATATTTAGACTTTTAAGACGAAACGATTTGATGTATAAATTTTAACGAAAATCTAACATTAATTTATTGGAAATAGTCTAATTAGATCATTTTACAAAAAAAAATTAGAAATATAAATTGAACCAAATAAAAATTAAAGATTTAATTGATTTTTTTATATAAAAATTAGAGATAAAAAAAGATTTTAACCTAATTCGTATGATGCATACATGTTATGAGTTAATTAGAAGTTTAAAAACCATATAAACAAATATTTGATTTATTAGAATATAAGTTGGGTTGAAATTATTTATATTAGTTTTCCTCTCCATTTGCAAAAAATGTGTGTTTTCATAATTAGAAATTTCTTAAGGGGTAACTGATTGTTGGGAAATTGATTTGTTTATAATGATTACACTTAATATTCACCATTACTTAAGCAAATATGACATTCCAGTGATGACATCTCTCTTTCATTTGGAAGGATATCAATCAAGTGACATAGTATTTTTTGTGATGCACATGGATTTCGGAATGTTGGAGAATCAAACATATAGTCAAGGCTTACAAATAACACCATATTTGCTTAAGTGAAGATAGGGTTAGTGTACATTAGTTATAATATATATCTTGATAAATCATGCAAATACATCAAGGTCTCTCTAGGGAGAGGAATTCGCTCAAACAAAATGTGATTGTAATTATGTTGTATATATTTGAATGTATTTGTATATATTTAAGTTTATTCACGTATTTAATATATTGATAATGGTATAAATAAATTGATATAATTAGTTATATATGTACTAAAATATATAATTAAAGAATGACATACGTGATGATATATATATATATGTGATGAATAGGTAAAGTCATTGCTAACATACACATAAGGCTTACTATTACGTACAATGTATTATTTTTTTTAATACGTCCTTTTGTTGTACAATATATTTACAAATAATATGTTTATGTTGTATATAGTACTATCAACTTGTACATATATACTAACTTGAAATGTCACACTCCAAAGTCATAGCTTATCAAAAGGCTAATAGACATAAGTTAATAACCCAGTAAATTTAATTATTTTATTTTATTTTTAAGAAATATTTTCTAAAAATCACAATTAATTATGTGAGTATTGTATAATTATTTTAACGAAAAAATTAAAATGATTGTAACTTTTTAAGAAAAAATTTACTCAATTTCAATCAATAATTAAAATTTAGTATGCAGATATTCCTAATTTAAATTCCATTCTCATTATACGTTTACATGATTCAAACCACACAATAAAAAAAGTAATTATTTAACTAATAGTTATATTGTTTTATTTAAATATTATATATAATATAAAAACAGGTAGAAAAAATTAAAATGCTAACTAGCAGCTCACTCAACCTAGTTATAATACGGATTCACTTGTGTTACCATATTACACTGAATATATGTTGTGTAGTAAAAAAACCAACATAGGTCATAGGTGTGATGACTTGACATTATTGGACTTTCAGAAACACTTTTTGTTGGTATTAATTAGACAATGATGCAATCTCAATCTTAGAGACCAAGAACGATACAAGGAAATTTCCAACCTTTCACATCCCCACAACATTTTCAAATTCATTACTTGGTATGCACATCAAATTAACAATCTTTTCCAACTACTATTCAATTAACATAAAAAATTGTAACACTTAACGTCAGCAATGAGCTCCATAGGAGGCAGAAAGTTCATGCCCCAGATGAAAATTCAATTTTGTAGTGGTTAACTTAGCTTTGGAATAGTTTGACAAGGTTGATCATAAACAAACACTTAAACTACTTGACCTAAATTTTGGAATCAATCGTTGATTTTGATAAAGTCAATCTGGTTCTCACTTCGAATTCCTGGATTGCATTTTACTTCGAGACTTTGTCAAGAAAATGACCCCTTCAAGATAGGATTTGAAAAAGAGGGTTATTTCTTGGAAAAATTCTTTGGAGGATATACATGACAAAAATACAAAAATATATATAGTAGCAAGTCAAACCAAAATTCAAACTAAATGTTTCCTTTCTGATGTACATAAACTCATAAAAACTACGAGAGAAATAAATACGTACACTGTTTGCTATAGTTATTGGTCAAATATACAAAATATTTGGTTGAGAATTTAAAAAAGTCTCAAATTTTCAATACTTGAGTGATGAATCTTTAATTTTCTTTTTAACTTAAAATGCTGTGTATTTACTAGCATCGTGTTGTAAAAACTTGGATTACATCTTTAATGACTTTGATTTAATTTTGGTATATCTCATTCCTGCCATAATCTCTATGAAGTTGTTGAAATTTCACCGTATTTATAAATTTAAGTACTTGTTTCTTTTTTCCAGAATGAACAAATTCATTATAACTATGCTTAAAGTTCTTTGAAAGTCGCCTCCACATCCTTGTGTTTTAATTTTTAGTTATCTTTAATAAGTTTTATCTCTATAAAGTTGTCTATATAGATTAATTTTGTTTTTAGCATTAATTAACAAACTATAAAATTTAATAAATGTCTTTGATCAACATGTCTGATAATTAGTTACCAAAATTTGCAAAAGAATTATCTTTTGAATTAATTGCACTCTATTTTGTACTAAGATCATGATAATATAATGTCAAATTATTTGTTATAGTAAATGGTTCAAGATATTTGATAATGCATGGAAATTCAGAAACCATATAATGTTTTAAGAACCATTTTATGTATGGTATGTAAACATTAATTCAAAACTATTTTATGCTTTATTTATACTAGAGTTATCAAAACAGGTCATCTCACTTGGCTTGACTCAATCCATCAGTTCATTACGGATTGGTTACTTAGTGATGCAATCTAACTCAATTTAATTATTAGCGAGTCCAAAAATTTTGAATACAACCTGATCCATCACAGATTAATGGATTAAATGGGTTGGTTCACTTAATTAAAAATTATTTTTCTTCAATCCAAAAGAAAAAATTACAATTTTTTTCTAATTGAAATCTAAATAAAGTTCAATCTAAATATAATCTAAAATGATGTTAAACTCCAAATATAATCCAAAATCACAAAAAATACAATATATTTCAAATACAGTTAAAGATATAAGAAAATTTAGGAATTTTTATTTTTAATATAATTTAATATTTAAAATTTATGGGTGAGTTGGTGAGCTAACCTGTTCATCATGGATTCAATTCGAGGAAACAAATTGACCAAATTTATTTTTTACTTATGTCAAAATTTGTAATTTTTTAAACCAAACTCGACTTGAATCTTAATTCTGATAAATACTTGTAAGTTTTAATTTATTTTAACAATTCTAATTTATATGGATGAAATTTTTAAAAAATATAACAAGAAGTAAATGATATGATAAATTTATTATTGTTATTTAATTTGAGGAAAAATTGATATAAACAATTGGAATAATAATTAAATTGATAAAAAACACCATTTTATATAATATTATTAATGATTTAATCTATAATAATATATATAAAAAATATTTTTTTGTCTTATGTATGCAATTTATATTTCTATTTTACCCTTAATTATATTAATTAAAAAATTATCACAGTATATAAAAGAATATATGTTTGATATTTCTATTTTACTCTTAGTTATATTTTAAAAATAAAAACAAACTATTAAAACAATTAAAGTGATGATTATGCAGTATTAATTATTTTTGTATGTAATTACTATTAGTGATATTTTTTTCTTAAAATGTATAAAATCACAAAGTGTCTCTTTTTCATTAGTATTTTTAATAAAACAAATTTGCTTTTGTAATTTTATAAATAAATTATCTCTCCCATATAATTAGGGTTACCCATTTATAAGAGAGACCCCTTATAATTCAAAATTTTGTTTTCCGTAGTCGGGTATCCATTAGATAGGAAATAATAATACAATACACATTCTTTTATATAAGGTAATTTTTGTGGTTAAATATAAACTTAAGCACGAATATTTTACTTTTATTTTTATTTTATCGAATCTACTTATCTCATTTAGGTATCAAAAACAGAGACGTTGCTTAAGATATTGGGTCGACACTTGAACTCCAAGGTTTACGAAACTAGTTTTCCACAATATTATATCAATTTGACTACCCTAATTTTTTAATATATATTTTGAAAATTGCAAAGTTACGCGTACGCGTGAAACTGAAACAAAACGTTCACCAAGCTTTATTTCATTATATAAGGATAAAATTTCCAAATAAAAATATTTTACCAAATTCTTAGCTTTTCAAATAATTTTATTTCACATTTTTAATTTTGTATTAACGAATATGTTTTCATTTTTCTAAAACGGATAAGAAATTAAAATAAGGTTAAATGTCACGTCATGGGTGTGCTGGTAAAGAGGCCACAAACTAGAGTCCTTCTAAAAATAAAGCGAAGAAGGAAAATCTGAAAAAAGAAAAATGGAAATAAAATAAAAGGAATTTGAGTATACTTGTTCGACTCCACGTGGTTGGAAAATGGAAACACTGTCTCTCTCTACTTCCTCTCTCTTCATCTTCATCTTATTCTTTCTTCTCCTAATATGTATATATATGTGTGAAGTGTTTCATGGTGAAGGATCCCATTACCTTTGATAACAAGTTCAAGCTAGCTACCAAGTTCAGTTTTCCTCAATCACCATCTCAAAAACCACCATTTCACTTCATGTAACATCTCATTTCCTTAACTCAACAACACTGTTCATTAAGATTCATTCTCTCATCTCATCAACCCATTACAGATTCTTTTCTTTTCTCCTTCTTGGTTTTCGAATCTTCAGGTACTCTACTACCCTCCATTTTTTGCTTTTAAGAATCTGTGTTATTATGTATTTCTTTTTTGTGGAATGAATGGTTTGCATATCCATTTCTGCATATTGAATACGGTGCTGAATGTTTTTCTTTGAAAGCTATTCTGCTCAATCTAACTACCTGTGAAGAAAAATATAGTCTTTTTTATTGTTGATGTCTTAGTGAAAGTTTTTGTTTTTAGATCCTTCGTATTCTTTAACTGGGTTATCTGATATGTGTTGGTTGGTTGGTTGGTTTGGAATCTGTTTAGGAGAATAAAACGGGTTTGCCATTTACTGTGTTTGAGGTTCTCCTTTCATGTATACGAGACTGTTTTCTGTGATTTGTCTGTTAAAATGGGAGTTTGGTTGGTGGGTTTTTCGGATCCGTGATCCTTTGTTTCTGATGATTTTGCAGCAGCATAAAATATGAGTTATTGTTGATGCTTTTTGATCTTGCGCACAGAATAGTAAAAAGAATAATGCATTTTGAAATGGGTCTCAAGAATTTTTGGTTTTCTATTTTTTTTTTGTCTTGGTGGAATTGTGTGTGGCTTGATGTGGTGAGTACGGTTTGAATTTGATGGTGTGGAACCGTTTTATTTCTTATGACTGTTCATATTATTGATGTACTTATTCCATCCAGTTTGACAAATTGAAAATGTATCTTCTTGTACTTTAATGCCGACTTTGCTATTTTCAGGTCCACGAATTGCACTAGTTTCTGCATATTGGTTTTGTTGTCATATGGGGATATCCTTCTCATGTCCATTTGCCAAGTACAATGATGTGGAAGATAGCTTAGATTCTGTGGTTGTAAAATCCATCAACTTTGGCAATGATGAAATCAAGACTCCAGTACGATCTGTTAGTTTCAAAAAAGAAGATTTAGAACCCACCATTCTGAAATCTCTAGGTTCTGGAAAGATGACAATAGAGACATCAGTGAGCTTCAAAAGAAAAGACATTGATGACATTATCTCCACCAACACTTTGTCATTTGACAAAGAGGAAAACATGCCTATCGCAAGGACTGCCAAAAAGATCAAAGAAATGGATGATATGCCACTCAAGTCAGAGAATCAAATGGAAACCATCCAATCAGCACTTCTAAATCCAAGCAGCCCCAAACACATTGCTGCTCTTAAATTGCAGAAAGTGTACAAGAGCTTTCGTACCAGAAGAAAGCTAGCAGATTGTGCCATTCTTGTTGAACAAAGCTGGTACTTATTCAATGGCCTAAAAATCTCTTCCCTTTTCACAAAACTCAATGTGTTTCTAACATGTTTTTATCGAATCTTTGAATAGGTGGAAGCTTTTAGATTTTGCTGAACTCAAGCGCAGCTCCATATCTTTCTTTGACATTGAGAAACACGAGACTGCAGTTTCTCGTTGGTCTAGAGCAAGAACTAGAGCTGCCAAGGTACTTTAACATTATTCAGCTTTAGAAGGAAGTTTTATTTATCAGCATGGTATTGGTGATTTCTGGTTAATACCTTCAATAACTACCATGCTCTAACCTTTTAGTTCAAACTTTCATGCTGGATTGAACTTGATTAAGCTTTTCTTTGTCATTGCAGGTTGGAAAAGGTTTATCAAAAGACGATAAAGCTCAAAAACTTGCTTTACAGCACTGGCTTGAAGCGGTTAGTCAGACATAATTGTCATGTTCTTTCTCTGCTTATATATTGGTTTGTTAGTCTTTCATCAATTATTAATGTTTTTCATGTGTAACAGATTGACCCACGCCATCGCTATGGACATAATCTACACTTCTATTATGATAAGTGGCTTCGGTGTCAGAGCAGAGAACCCTTCTTCTACTGGTAAGATTCTTTATAAACATTGCAACTTAAGCTAGTTTAGTATATAGATCTTAAGCCACAAGAGTTTGAAACTAATCTTGTTTGAAACTGCAGGCTAGATATAGGAGAAGGAAAGGAAGTAAATCTTGACAAGTGCCCTCGTTTCAAACTTCAACAGCAGTGTATTAAATATCTGGGTCCGGTGAGGTTTCCTCCATTTTATGAGAACACCTCTTGATAGATAAATTTGTTTGAGACTTTTTCATTTCAATTTTTATTAATTATTTTGATTCTGCTTTGTTCCAGATGGAAAGATTGGCATATGAAGTTGTTGTGGAAGATGGAAAGTTCTTCTACAAGCAATCAGGAGAACTCCTTAACACCACTGGAAAAGATGCACATGCCAAGTGGATTTTTGTCCTTAGCACATCCAAGACATTGTATGTTGGCAAGAAATCAAAAGGTTCATTTCAGCATTCTAGCTTCTTGGCTGGAGGAGCTACATCATCTGCTGGGAGACTAGTGGTTGAACACGGTGTCTTGAAGGTAGAAATCCGGCACAAAGCTTGTGTAAATTTATGAATCTTATGCTAGATTCCTACCACCATGGATAACCATTTTACTTGCTTAGCTAAAACTGATTTTATTGTTTATTTTCAACAGGCAGTTTGGCCACACAGTGGACATTATCGACCAACAGAAGAAAATTTTAAGGAATTTATTTCATTCCTTCAAGAGAACAATGTTAGCCTTTCAGATGTCAAGGTATAGAAATTAAAACACAGAACCAATGCTGTACATTATTTTACCACGCTCTAATAGTTTATGCAATGTAATTACAAGAGGTGAGAGAATATCTAAGGAGATTCATTTTGTTATATGCAGATGGATTCAGTTGACGAGGCTGATGAATTACGTTCTCTGAGAAGTGGTCATCTTAGAAGCCACTCCTCTGAAGAGGACTTCACTGAGAACATGAATGGCCTGGAGATTGAAGATACCATTATTGAAGGCTCAGCTGCAAAAGAGAAGGCCAATTTGATTCAAACTGAGAGGGCTTCTGCAGCGATGACACCTGGCCCAAGGCAGTTTCAAATTCTTGGAAGAGAACTTAGCAATCTTGAAATACCAAAAAGGGATGGTCATGTGTTTGAAGGACTAGAAAAAGAGGTAGAAGGTGTTGAAGAAAGTAGTGAGAGTTTGGAAATGGAATCTGAGTCAGTTGATGAAGAAACAACACAAGAGAAAAAGTGTTGTGATGATAATGATGTAGAAAGCATTCCACCAGAGTCCATACTGAAAAGAATAAACTCACATAAAGAAATGAAATCATATCAGCTGGGGAAGCAGCTATCATGCAAATGGACAACTGGTGCGGGACCACGCATTGGATGTGTGAGAGACTACCCTTGTGAGCTTCAGTTCCGAGCATTGGAGCAAGTTAATCTGTCTCCAAGAAGTGGATCACGCCATAAATCATCCTTGACTCCTAGAAACACCACTTTGTTGAACTCTAGTCTTTCAAATGTAGCAAGCTTATGTGGGGACACAAGTATTGAACCACTTCACATTGCTCAAAGAGGTGAGCAGAATAGTTCAAGATCAGAATGCTCCCCTTTGTTCAGAGGAACATCAGTTATACCAGTTATTCATACTTCATGAGTGGATAGGAGACTCCATTGTTTTATTCTTTTTTACTTCATAGGTAACCCAACAGTTGTATTTTTGTTATTCTTTCCATTGATTCACACAGCCATTCTTTTTTCACTCATGTATAGTACTATATCATAGGATCAAAATTGTAAAATTATCATGGGATCTATTTATTCTCCCATTACAAAGGAAACATTTCATCTTCCACCATGATAATTGTAAAATTATCACGGCTTCAAATTCAATTATATATATTTGTTTATTTTTGAATATTTGAAGCTGCAACTTTATGTTATCCTTTTCCCTCATGATTGTTCGTGTGCTGTGCTGCTGGAGGCATGATTATGGTTTTTCTGGAAACAAAAGGTCTCTAAAGAACATGATCATACCTGCACTTCTATTATTACTAACTCTTCACCTCATACTAATAGAAAAAGATAAAAATATTCTTCTCACTGCACTATATCACTGCTTCAGCCATTGTCATGACCATGAAAAGCTCATCTTATGTAGAGTTTATTATGAAAAACTCATTTCAGAAAGCTTGTTCTGAAAGGTGTCATATATGTTCCATAAATTCTATAAATCGTGAAATCATTCCAAAATATATCTCATTTATTCCGAAAAACTTGTTCCAAAAATCTTATGAAAATCTTATTTCAGAAATTCTATTTCGAAAATCTTGTTTTAACAATTATGAAAAGTTTCTTCTGAAATAATTCAGAGGTCAGTTCTACAATGATAAAATAATCCTTTTAAAAACTATAAGAGTACAGTTAGAAATAATGACGGTATATGAAGAAAAGGCCCCAATTGTAAATGGACAAGTTTCCAAGGACAGACAATAAAAGCCGAGAAAGAAAAAAACACAATATGAGAGAAAGAGGAAACGAAGACAGAAAATGAGAAATTTTTTTCATCTAAGCAAAAATGTTCTTAATTAGTTTCGATTTATTTCATAAAGATATTTTTTCAAATAATCTCTGAAAAATTACAAAGGTAGCAATACTTGTCTTTCAATGTTTTTTCTCGTTTCTAGCATAGTCTTTAAAAAAAGTGAATAAATACTAATTTTAGTATTTGGTTGTGTTTTTGGTTTCGTTTTGAACAGTAAGTTGAAGAACTGTTTCTTAGAAGAGAGTAAACAAAACTGTTTGACAAGTATTAATCTGAACAATATTGTTTCAGATAAGAGAAAAGATAAAGATTAATAAACTTCTACTGAAAACATAAAAGATATCCAAGAAAAACAAATAAAACATAAAAGATATCCAAGAAAAAGAAATAAAACATAAAACTCGTTTAATGGAATTTTAACTTTTTTATTATTTTCTAAAATTAAACATAAGAAGTTAAATATGCGTGTCTGAGGTAGTATAATTATAGTTTAATTAATAAAATAAGGTTCTTTATTATTTATAAATAAATAAACACTTATAAATATACGATTAAATGACTTATTATTTTATTTAAATATGATTATATATATATATATATATATATATATATATATATATATATATATATATATATATAATAATAATAATAATAAAAAATATATATATATATAAGTTTTGTTATATTAAAAACACATACATTGGAATATCTATTTTATGTCATATAAAAAGTTTAGATTTAGGATAGGTGGATGCAATTTTTATAGAATTAAATCCTTCGATTTTTATTTATTTATATGCAACACTAACATTTCTACTTCTTTTAATTTCCACTTTCATAAATTTCAATTACATTATAGTTAATATGTTACATTTTTAAATATAATGAACATGAATTTTCTTTTATAAAAAAAAAAAATAAGTGGACGTTGTTTTATTAAAAGAAAGGAGGAAAAGTAAGTATACTTTAAAAGCAGATAATTGTCACTTTATCAAAAACTAAATTGCAGAAAACCTACTATAATAACATAAATAAATAAGAGAATGATTTATGAACAAAAACAAGTTTATTAACATTTAGCATATATTTAGAGAGAGAAGAAAAATGATATGTTTATAGGTTATCTCATGTGATAAGAAGAGATAAATAAAAGAAATATGCAACAAAATAGACAAAATTTAATGTTTTTGTAAAGTATATTTTTAATTATCTCTTACTAAAAAGATTAAACAAGTTTTTTAAAAGAATTAATTAAATTTTAGAGTAAGATCTATCTCTCATGCTTGTTATGGGACTTTGAAAAAAATATATTATAAAAACATAGAAAATGGTATCTTAGAAATGATTGTGGTTTAAAAATAATGAGAATCGATTACTTTAATATTAAATGGTTTTAATAAAAATAGTTTCATTATAAAACGAGTTTCATTATTTTAAAACACATCATCTATAAATCACCTTTTTATAGTTTTCTGACTTTTCTTTATGAGTTCTCATCACCTGTTCATATGTTTGAATATCAGATACTGCTTAAGTGATCCTTACGACGAGATCTTTAAGTCTAACCGATCAATTTTTCAGATAAAGTTGGTTTTTTGCTCCTTTTATTTGGTAAGTTTTATTTTCCTTGCATGCTAGCTCTATTTGTTTTGCATGAGAAGTTTAAGTCTTCTATAAGACTCTAAATTGATCGATGGTCCTAACGGTGTATCCTGATCGTGTTTTTGTGGTTCGTAGGAACAAATAGAAATTCATGTATGTTGGAACTATTTTAGGCTTTCTAGAGCAGTTTTGTCTTTTGTCGAGTAAGAGAAACTAATATTCGCTTTAATTTTTGTACGAGAAGTATGAATTTATGTTTGATAGGTTATGAAATTTATGCTTGGTTGAATATGATATTAATTGAAATGCTTATTGAGTGATGTTGTATATTGATGAGTGAATAATTGAATATTGATGAATATTTTGGTGTATGCTTGTGACTTGATAATGGTGTGAACTTTGGATGATGTTGTTTTGAAGTTTTATAGGTACAAATCTGATGTAGAGTTGAAAGTAGGAAATAAAGAGTGTTGTTGGACTGATTTTTAGTCTAAATTGAGGTTTTAATAGGTGAATTTCTAGAGGAGGGACTTTGAAGAGATAACTAATGTTTAAAGTATGTTTTTAGATCATTTTAAACTTGTCTAGAACCTTAATTAACCATAAATATGATGTTGTGATGGTAAGTAGTTAATAGGTTGAGTTTTAGGTTACTTTTAGTCTATTTGTTTTGGGGTTTTAATAGATGAAATCTTGGAGGAATGATTTATAAGTAAAGTTGTTGTTTGATCTTTACCTTGAGGTCACTTAGGACTTAGTTGGTTAGTTAATGCATTGAAAATATGATTTAAAGCATTAGAATTCTAATTCATAAGTTGTGAGTTGTAGGTTGATCGGTTGAACCTTAATTCTTGACCAAATCACAAAATTGGTATCTAATTCAATATAAACCTGTTTTTGAATCATTTTTAGTGTCTAGGATGTCATTTTGATATTTTGGATACATATTGGGGGCAAATAAAGCTAGTTTTGAGTTTATTGTGTTCTGGTATGGCATTGAGCAACCCTTTGTGGCATTGAGCACTACTGAAATAGAGAGCCTCTATGCTCTAGCGCTTCTTTTTTGGCGTTGAGCGCCACCTTTCCAATGGGGTTTGGGCGTTGGGCAAGTGTAGTGTTGGGCCTCATGTGTGCATTTTTTTGTGTCTTCTTTCCTCTTGTTCCTTGTTAGGTTTGAGCTGTATCAGTACTTTGATGCTTGTTTGGTACTATCTATTGAATTGTATGATGTGTGATGAGGATTAGTAGGTATTAATCATGCGCATGGAAGATGGGGGTAGTTCCATGACTCTCGTGGAGAGATTCCATGGTGGTGCCCTTTAGTATATGTATTGATGTAGGGACTCAGCCTTGGAAGTTATCATGGCGTTCCAATAATCACTAAATCTTAGGTAGAGAAGGGAATTATGTGGTGATGAGTAATAAAAGGTCCTAGTCTATGGTATGGTATTCTTTATCCATAAACTATTCACATACTATTCTTGTGTGGTAGCTTGGGGGGGGGGGTAGCTATTCCACCACTACAAGTGTACAACTTGACATAATCTGACATCAATACATGTATCCGGATTTGGTCAAGTCTAGAATTTATCTGTATATTTAGGTTTGATTTGGTTTGGAAACGAATTGTGTTATAGGATGTTTTATATTTACATGATTTGATTATTTTATAATATTAGCTTAACCTTTTGTCTTTGTCAGTTTGTGTGTTTGTTTTCTTTTGCAATAATCACCTTAAATAACCTTAAATGGTGTGAGCTTAAAGGAAATTTTCTTGCAGTTGATCCAGCGTAGGGTAATTGTGAAGCAACAATGTAGTTAGGTTTTCGTTAAACAAGTGTAAACCTTGAAGCTAGATCTCATCCTTGTAACATTTTATTTAATAGTTTTACACTATTAAAATGATATATTGCAACATATTTTAAAATCTCGCCCTAAATTTTCTGTAAGGACCTAGAAAATAAATAAGAGTAGTAGTTGTCTTAAAAAGACGATGCTAAATTATTTTATTACTAAAAGTTAAACTATAAATGATACTTTTTATTAACAAAGTTTTATTTTATAAGAACCATTTCCCTATAACTTTTTTTCTAAACCTTTTTTCTAGATCTCTTACTTTATCATTCATCTATTTGAATATTGCAGTACGCCACAGGATTCTTGGCATTGAGGTTTAAAATCCCACCTTATCATAATTTTGAACAGAACGAGTCCATTTGTTTTGCTCTTCTTTTGAGTCTTATTATTAAAACTATTGCATGCAAGGTTATGGGGGTTTGCATGGTGTTAAAGAGTTCAATGTGAATGTATGTTCAGTTAGGATTGTAAGGGTGTGTTCTCATTATTTATTAAAGTTCTTTGTGTGCAGGTAGAGCAACCTGTGTGAGGTAGAGCCTGTGTGGAACACTTTTTTAGTTTATGAGCATCCATCCATGCAATAGAAGCTAGTATTATTTTTTATATAGTTTGATTTACCTTGTTTAAATTGTGTGTATGTTGATTTTTAATGGAATGGTTAGATTGTTTGGTTTTAAATTGCTTGATTTAGTAATCATGTATTGAACATGGTTGTGGTAAATTTGTTATCTAATTAGTGAGAATTGAGGATGAATATATGAGTTTGTATCCTTGGCTGCTAACGATTCATTTTAAACTAAGTTGGTATTAACTTTGATTGAGATGGAGATAAAAATA